AAACTACAGGCCGGCCCACTAGGGAGCGGGGTCTGGGGTTTGCTCCACTCCGGCGCTCCAGGCGGGGTGCAGGCTTGGGGGCCGCACCTTGCAGCTCCCAGAAGTCACGGCACGGCCCTGCTCCGGCTCCTATGCGCTCCAATGGCCCCACTCCAATTGCCCCCTCTGGCACTCCAATGGGAGCTGCAGGGGTGGTACCTGTGGACGGAGCAGCGTGCAGAGCCGCCTGGCCACCCCTCTATGTTGGAGCCAGAGAGGGACATGCAGCTGCTTCCAGGAGCCGCTTGAGGTAAGCGCCACTCGGAGCCTGCACCCCTGAGCCTCTCCCCAACCCCCTTCCCCAGCCCTGATCCCCCTCCCGCCATCTGAATCCCTCAGTCCCAGCCCAGAACACCCTCCTACACCTCAAACTCATCATCCCCAGCCCCACCCCAGAGCCCGCACCCTCCAGCCGGAGCCCGCACCCCACTCCCCCACCCCAGCCCAGAGGCCCTTCCTGCATCCTGAACTCCTCATTTCTGAGCCTACCCTGGAGCCCACACCCCCAACCAGAGTCCTCACCCCCTCCCGCACCCCAATCCCAATTTTGTGAGGATTCATGGCCCATCATACAATTTCTATTCTCAGATGTGGCCCTTGGGCCAAAAAGTTTGCCCACCATTGCCCTACAGCAAAGCTCCTCCCAACCCAGGTAGGTCACATGATCTTTTTGGTATAGCAGCTGCCCCGACTTCTTGCCCCCATTGGAGTCTCATAATCCAGCTACAGGGAGCCTATTGAGCATGACCAAAACTACCACACCCAATTCCAGCAACTTCTGCGAGTGGAATGCTAATTGTGCATTTGCAGAGCAACAATGGCCCAGACAGAATTGCCCCCCACTTCTCTCTACATCTCTTAAAGAGATATCTCCCATTAGGCATGTGGGTTACATTTAGTTCTCAGATTACTAGGTGGGGATTCAAGCTGGTTCTATATTGTGATGTTAAGAGGAACCCCTAGATTTTGAATCCAGCACTTGTTGCTGCTGATACGCCCTGGCAGAAGGGTTACACATAAAAGGAGTTAATAATATTTTAGGTGGTATTTTAAGCTTATGGGCTATATTATGCTTCGAGTCACATCCATGAATGGGGGCAATGCAGAGTTGCACTGAGAGGCACAATCATTCCTTGAGCACACAATGTGGTTGAAGAGTGTGCAGTCTGCTCCTCTGTGTAGGTCAGGCCAGTATAAGGGCTAAACAGGGTTTCAGGGACTGTGATTATGCAAAGGTCAGGGATACGATATGTATGCAAGGGAAGCTACTTGTTCTGACTCTATTATTTGTGTAGGTGCAATCTAGGCATTGAAGTAATTTTTTTTAATGACTGTTCAACCAGTCCTAAAGCATCATAGTAATTGGCTTCTAGTCTGTTGCATTGGGCTCTCTTATTTCCAAGATCATAAACAAAGTCACTTTTCAGCAAGAAAAGTCTCCTAAAGAAAGTGCAGGAACCCCGCTTGTTCATTGAAAACTAGACTGAACAAAGCACTCAAAAATCCAGTGGAATCTCAAATAGCCAAATGTAACAGGAGCCACAAAAGTCATTTGCATATTGAATGTTTTGTAAGTGGATGAATCACTCATATGAGCTGAAGCCACGATTTCTGTGCATAAAGTCTATGCACTAAGGTGCTGATGCTCCGCAGATTTCTGTCATAAAGAAGCTCTGTTTCTCTGGTGTGCAGATGAGCTATGCTCACTGCTGGTTTTATGCCATCTTTTGCATTTCCCCCAGTCCTGCAACTGACTGACCTAGGGTCCAGCTATAGAGAACTCAGTTACGAATAGCCCAAAGGAGTGTTCCAGCATCTGAGGATTATCCAGGAATTCAAATGCACTGGCCATGCCTCCTTTTCTCTAGGAATACCATCATCCCCCAATATTGTTGCCAAAGGTGCAGCCAGATTTCCCTAGAGCATTGTACTGCCCAGAGAGACTCCCCTATACTGAGAGTATCATTTGCAGGTTGAATCCATGGAGTTTCTGGCTGCTTTGCAGCACTCTGTCATTGCTGTTTTGTACAATCAGTCAAAAAAAGACTTGGGAGGGAGATACATGACCCTCTTTTGGAAATAGGGTTTTTGCTTAAGTGGCACTTCGCTAATCCAATACATAGGGCACAAGACTGAAAAGAAGGAGGCAAAAGTTCTGTAGCTGGCTTTGTTGCTAATTCATTAAGGAACCCTTGGCAAGTCACTTAGGGCCCTATCCTGTCAAGTGCAGAGAACATTCAACTTATATACAACTAATGGGAGTTGGGGTGCTGAGCACCTTCACATGATCAGTCTTTTTAAACTCTGTGCCTGGCTGGCCATCTTATTAAAATAATTAAAATATTTACTCCCTTTCGTAAAGCAAGAGGTCGGAGGATGCAAGAACAATTCCAGCTTTTTCATTTACACATATGTAAGCAAATTTGGCTTGAAGTGTGCTATATGAATGGAAAGCATCAGCACTAATATTAATCAAGATTCTACTGTAGACTGTACCTTGGCAGGGAACTAGACAAGAAATACACACAAAGCAATAAATAACTGCTATTAATTTAGGGTTTTTTAAACTACATATTCTAGAATACAAGGCTAAACATTTACAGTGGTTACTTCCACTGGAATCTCTCTCTCTATATATATAATCACCATATCATGCCAGCTGGGAATAATTTTTTTTCCCCAATGGAAACGTGGCAGCAAAAACTCCCAAGATTGTGTCTTTACTGCCTGCCACGGCTATTAGACCTTTGGGAGATGGCAAAGTCTGAGTCAGCATGCAGGAGTAGCAACTTTAGAGGCCAGAGATTATTAAAAAAATCATCCATGTAACCACTTCAGTGCCCTACTTGGGTCAATAGAAATCAAACCTGCTGTGGGTGCGCCTGCCCTAACTCCTTTGAACAGTCCTGCAGAGTCCAATCCCTGTGAATTGAGCCCCAGAGGATTGTCCAACAGTAATCAACACACATATATTTACCCTGTCATGTAAGACCTAAAGCAGGCCACGGACCCTATTACAAGAAATGGGGAAAGTGTTGATAAATGAGAAAACTGAAGTCAAGAATGATAAGAGAAATACTACTGTAAAGCAATTAATAATTCTTGCAACATTTTCTAGTACTGCAAAAACAAACAGAAACCCCCAAGAGATAAGTCAAGGTGGGAAATAGAACATTATTTCTACAATTAATGGAAATTAATTTACAGGAGTCAGTAAAATTACTTGAGTATTAAATTAGAAATGGATGTTACTTACCTGTAACTGGAAATTATTTGAGATGTGTGGTACCTATCTATATTCCACACGTGGGTGAACATGCACACCATGCACCCTAGTCCAGAAATTATAACAAGCAGTGTCTGTTGGCCCCTAGAGGCACAGTAGTTCTCCTCATGCTCCAGACTGAGGGCACAAGAGGTAGTGTGGGCTAACACCTCTCCAGTTTCTCTTCTTACCGCAAATCCAGAAGGATCTGAAGCAGGAGGGGATGGAGCGTGGGTAGTGAATAGAGATAGTAATCAACATCTTGAAGAACTTCCAGTTACAAGTAAGTAACCTCCATTTCTTCTTCAAGTGCTAGTCCCCATGTGTATTCCACATGTGCGTGACCGATCAGCAGTATTCAGACTAGAGGGGGATGTGAAGAAGCCAGCAAGAAATACTCTTGAAGTATTGCAGTTCCCACTGCTGCATCTGCAGCAGAGGCTTGAGCTAGTGCATAATGTTTTGTGAATGTGTGACTGGAACTTCAGGTAGCGGCTTTGCATATACCCAGTAATGGTACTTACTGCAGTGATGCTGCAGAGGCAGTTTGTGCTCTTGTGAAGTGTTCCCTTACCCCATCAGGTGGAGGGATATGCACTAATTGATAGCACACAATGATGCAACCAGAAATCCATTTAAATATGCTCTGAAAGATTATAGCTTGTCCTTGTGACATTTCCATTATGGCAAGAAATAGCCTAAGTGATTTTCGGATAGATTCAGTCCTCTGCAGATAGAACGCTAATGTGCATCTGACATCGAGGGAATGAAATTTCCTCTCCTCAGCAGAAGCATGGGGTTTCAGGAAGAAAACATCTAAGCTGACAGCTTGGTTGACATGGAATTCCAAAATAACCTTGGGGAAAAAATTTAGGATGTAATCAAGGAGAGACCTTTTCCACGTGAAAAACAGTGTATGGTGGATTTGCCATGAGGGCTTCCATCTCACTCGCCCTTCTGGCTGAGGTAATACTACTAAGAATGTGACTTTCATGGAAGATGGGACATGGAGCATGTTGCCAAGGGTTCAAATGGTACCCTGGTGAGTGCTGCTGGTATGAGATTTAGTTCCCATTGAGGAGTGAGGGCTGCAGGGAAGCCTCCCCTTGCTGCAAGCCTGCATTACACTGTGATACTTGGTAAAGGAAGAATAAATACACACATGGTGAAAATGTTAACAACTCAGTGTGTGTTCGTGACTGTGAAACCACACAAACTGGCCAGGCAGTGCAGTTCAATGGGTACTGATGGAGGTGCCCTGTGACAGTGCTCCTTACTCTCATGGGAAGCCCAGGAAAAAGAGTCCTTGGGTTTAGCAGCTGTAGATTCTGCTTGTGCTCAGAGAGGCGCTGCCTGTTTGGTGGGGCCAATATACAAGGGGTCTCCCTGACCTAGATCAGATTGGGGACTCATAGCCTTCTCCATGAGGTGTTTACTAATCTAAGATCATGGTGGAAAAGAGTGACAGATGCTGCACTTTGCAGGAATATATGTCTCACCTGAACAGCAGAGACACCATTTGCAATGGTCACTCACGGAGAAGGAGCATGGGCAGAAGAAATTCTTGAACCTTGGAACTCTGGAAATAGTCCCAGACTGCAGGGAGGGAGTCCCCAGTATGGGGGAAAATCTACCAATACTAACTATAGTAAAACTCTCTAATTATGCTCATATAAAAATTATAAACCATTAACAATTTTTTTTTACAGAGCTCAATGATAAAAAGCTGGAGAAATTTGTGGACACAGATACCAACTCAGGCCATGCAGCAGTAAGAAGGAATAGATGAGATGTCAGCTCATACAGCTTCCTATGCTGTCAGTCTGAAGCATGAGCAGAACTACTGCACCTGTGCAGGCCAATGGACACTGCTTGTTAGAATTTCTGGACTCAGGTGCATGGCACACATGTGCACCCATGTGTAGAATACACATTGGGACCAGCACTCGAAGAAGAATTTCAATATATTTGCAAGAAAGAATTCAGAAAACTAGCCTTTTATATTTAATTATGCATTCAGTTTCCTAGTTGACAGCATCAACAAGGGACTCATTACATACATGAAAGTTAGATCAATGTGAGCCAAGACCAGATAAATATCAATTAAGGGTTTAAAGAAAATCAGGGCCAAAAAATTCAAGAAGCCAGTGCCAGATGGAGTTTTACCCACCTAATTCAGCTAAGGGTCACACTTAATTTGGATAAAATGGAGCAAATAGTTGCATCTTTCATACAGAAGTTTAGTCTGTGGATGTTATAGGTCCTAATATAGTCTGTCATCTGCTCTCAGCAGAAGACTCAACTCTTTCCCCCCAAAAGAGATAGGGGATTACAAGATAAGAAATTTGAAAGATCAGAAGGGGAATGACCCTTGGTAGGCCAGATGGCCCATTTCAGTTAATTTATTTCACCTTTAACAGTCTGAGAGTCAGATCTCCTAAACAATAGGCTCTACTTCAAATATTCCCTCCCAGAAAACATAGCATAAGTGAAGGAACAAAATGGACACCGTGTAGAATTAAGGACATGGGTTTATTACACACAGTGCTGGCGGAGTGTCACTTTGCTTATTAGGCTCAGAGACACTGCCAAGCCATTGATTAGAATAGATTATATGAAATATCCATGGGCGGAGGGAAGTGACGGGGTGAGAGGTCCTGAGCCCCTGGATAGGTCTAGTAGCAAGACAAGATAAGCACAGTAAGCCAATAGTCTAAAGATTACATAATGTCTCCACCCGTGGTTTCAGGTTAACATGTAACATACTGTTAGTACACAGGTGTTATCCTTTAAACAATGTATAAAGTGTTTAATTATAAAATATATACGTTGAATTCTGATTTGGAGTCCAGAGGAATGAGGTAGCTCCTCTGATTGTCCAACAGGTACATTCCTGGGGGTTAAAGCAAAAAGACAGTGAAAAGTATATGGCAATAGAAATGGTTTTTCAGGTTGCCCATTGTGTTTCTAAAGGCAGACACTGGAATCTGGGAGGGATGGGGTGCACCAATTTGAAGGGAGGATGTCATATCTCATACTGACATTCTTGAACCTCTCTATGAACTCAAGGTTGGTATGTGGGGAGGGTATTGGCTATCTTTTCCTGCAGAAGGAGTGGACATAGAGGCCCCTTTCAATACTTTGGTATGTCTGTAGCTTCTGATCAGGGTGCCAATTACTCCTCCCCATCTGGAGTTTTGCTGACCATGCTTATCTTAGTAAAAAACAAGGTTGTCTCTTGTTTGTTCAGCTTCTCTTAGCCAATATTGTTCACTGTTTGCTAGGCCCCTAGGCCTCTTGACCAAGCTTTGAACTTCGGGCCTGTAAAAGTTGCTGACAGAGCCTGTGTCAGGGTTTTACATGCACAGCACATGGATTTTGGCCCTTCAATAAGGATTTTCAACACACTGAAGAAATGGATGATGGGAGCTTGCACTGGACACACTGATCTGTTAAAAGTAGCATAGCCCTACGATCCACTACTTCCTACACTCCATTCAGACTAGGAAAATGAGGAAGTTTATTTTATGGGGCAAGATGCCCACAAAGTGTTCTAGGCTAAAGTAAATGTAAGACTTGGTTAGAATTTTTCAAGAGAATTACACAAGGGTGCTTCAGAAAAATTCTGGGGGGTAGGAATACAGTTGTGTCAACATATAGAACATTTTTGTCCCAAATAGCATAATGGATCAGAGAAACTGGACAATTATTGCTTCCTAATGACCATGTCCAAACTGGGGGGGGCAAGCCACAGTCGGGGGAGCAACCCATGGAAAAAGACACCCCAGTAATTAGCTTGTGCTTGTGTGGAGGGGGGGCTGTGAGTGAAGCTTCCCACACTGCTCCCTCCACACAATATACAGAATTAATGTCCAAAATTTACCCACTCCCTGGGATTTGGTATTGTCAATTTAAGAAAATGTAACCCTCACCCATACTCCTGCTACACTTGTCTTATGCCTATTGTTCCTTCTGTCCCAAAAGAGAAGAGCTCTAACCCTTTTTATTGATTGGAGCAACTGAACATACCTGTTCTGGTTCCAAGATTAGCTAGCACGAGTCAGAATAGCCCTAATTCTCTCTGTAGGGGCCTAAAACCAGTGACTGTCCCCTACCCTTTACACTGTCCATGATTAAGGAAGTACATCAGGGGTCGGCAACGTTCGGCATGCGGCTCGCCAGGGTAAGCACCCTAGCGGGCCGGGCCAGTTTATTTACCTGCTGACGCGGCAGGTTTGGCCGATCGCGGCCCCCACTCGCCGCGGTTCGCCGTCCCGGGCCAATGGGGGCGGTGGGAAGCGGCGTGGGCCGAGGGATGTGCTGGCCGCGGCTTCCCACCGCCCCCATTGGCCCGGGACGGCGAACCGCGGCCAGTGGGGGCCGCGATCGGCCGAACCTGCCGCATCAGCAGATAAATAAACTGGCCCAGCCCACTAGGGTGCTTACCCTGGCGAGCCGCGTGCCGAACGTTGCCGACCCCTGAACTACATCCTCAAGATCATACACAAAGCCAGGTGTCAGAGATCAATATTTGAAAAAGAAGAATGCAGTAAATTCTTCCCCGATCATCCCTTCTTTTTCAAAATAATTTAAAAAATCTCCAACCTTAAGGTCACCTGTTGACATGTCATGAAAAGTTGGTTGATTGGGGAAATCTGTGAAAGTTGGCACAGGGCCAGGAAACTCCATTAGGCTAACTTGGCAGAATTTCTAGGTGATCGTCCCCTAAAGTGGAAGGGGCTAGAGCACAGCTTCCCAACCCCACAGATACTGGCAATCAGCTGGTAAGTGGAGCACCAGACCAGTGGAGATACCTACATGGTGGAGAGCTCAACTGCATTAAGAAGTCATGCTGCCATTGTATAAGTGTCCCAATCTGGCCTTTCTTTACAGGAAATCTTGGCTTTTAGAACTAGTGTTGAAAAAAATCCCCTCACTGTTTTCTCCTTGAATGGCAATTTTTTACACTATGTTTTTAAGAAAGCTGTGTGATCTTTGAACATTTTAAGTTTACTCATCACAATGTGACTTTTCATGTCAAGATATATCAGTCAGCGATGTAATGTACTATTGATGTAAGGAGATGGGTGGCATCCACTGGAAACACTGAATATCTGCATTATTGAAATGAGTTAAATAAATCTGTTGTGTTTTTTTTTTTTTTAGAAAAGTGTGAGTTTGTTAAAAAAATTCAAAACAGTTTCGAGAAAACAAAGAAGAGCTTTTATTACTCCTACTATTTAAGGAATCAGTTGAGCTGATCAAAAAATGCCAGTTGTTCTTTGCCAGATATTTCCCATTTTTTTTAAATTTTCTAGAAAAAATAAAAATCAGTTTCACTGAAAAACCAGATCTGAAAACCAAAAATTATTTTTTCAAACATTACAAATTTCAGTTTGTAGTAAATATGATCAATTTTTGGTTTTAAAAACAGAATTGCTTGATTTTTTTCCTCTCAAAAAATTGAAGTTTTGAAGACACAAAATTTCTGTTAAATTTTCAGGGTTTTTTGAGAAGCTATTTTTATTGAAAAAACAGTTTGTGACCAGCTCTAATAACCAGTAAATCAGAGTATCAAAAGAAATTAATCACTTCCAGAGTTTCACTGTAGAAAGAGAGAAGATCTAATTAATAATGTGTTACTATTCTGCAAGATAGTGGTGATGGTGGATAAAAGACAGTGGCATAAAGGTGGCTGAGGTTGACTTACAAATAGTGTCTATCCATGACATAAATATTATAGTAGAGATTCCCTTATTAGTATTTTTCTATCATAAACTCTTCTGCTTTTCAAACTAGCCATACCAGCCTCTGTGCAGTCATTGATGTTTCTTTGAAAGGAAAACACTGCTGTGATATAGAAAAAAGAATTATTTGAAGTTCAGATGTCCTAAAAAGTTAGAGATAAAATATATTCTGAACCTTTAGAACTCAGGAAATTATGTCCAGTTTTAACTGGTTTCATAGCACACATTTAACAACTGACTTGGCACTGATATGAAACACTTTTTTCCCATCCCTTCATTGTTTGGAAGCTGTATGTTTAATATTTTCCAAAAGATCATGGGTACATAGATTTACAGTATTTACCACAAAAATGTACATTTTTAAACCCATTCACTGACATGCATACACATCCTCTTTGCTGTTTGGAGTCCAAGAAGTGTCCATATAAAGTAATTTTAAATATGCATGTTTTATTTCAACTCCATCTATACCATCTGGATTGAGAATGAAATCTTGAACCATTGAAGACGTCATAGCAAGGCCTACTGGAATCACTAAAATTATGGATTGGCCAGTCAGAGTTTCTATTATAGACCCTTATTCTCAAAGGTTTATAACTAGATTACAAAACTGTGCTTGAGGATGAATGTTAGCTAGAAATGTCTCTAGAGAAATTGTTTTCTTCCAAATTTCAAAACTAAAGTCAGCCACTTGTGTACAAAAGTAAACAAATACCAATTTTAGTTTGATAGACTCCTATCATTCACAAGTGGTTTTGTGTTATAACTCATATCTTGCAGTGAGGTTGTCCAAAATTTTGCTTTTTAATTAAATAGCTGATAAAAATAGGCGACTACATACTAGTGGATACATTTCTCCATTTTAATGTTATATGGATTTAAAAATATGCCTAACTGTTCTAAAGTTGTTACAGTCCATCTGCTAGATAAAATGTATTTTTAAGTTGCCCAAATATGTATTTTCCCATCCAGAGCCATAACTGATGGTCAGATAAATACATATGAAGACCATTAATAAAATGCATATCATGGGGACTTACAAAATATGAGCCTAACCTTGAGGTCTTTATTCACATGAGTAGTTCTTATTTTCTCACAGAGGGTTTGTAGGATCTTACAAAAAATAGGGCCAGTACAAAATGCCCAGAGTATGCTCAGTATGCTATGGCCACTGGCTTTTTCAAAAAATCAGGGCAGCAGAGGGACTGTGATTATTTGTGAAAGCTAGTGTGAATAACCAGTGGTTTGTAGGAAGAATAATGATCAATTTACAAACCCTAGTTGTCAGTTTACATTGCTGGCTACCTTTGCAATAAAAGGACAGGACTTCTTTTAAAAAAAAGATCACTCAGAATATGTGAAGCACAGAAGTCAAATTGCAAGAAAACAGGTGGTGGTACTCTTCTAAACTCCACTTATAAATAAGGTCTGTCCACAGTGAGGCACCACTTACACTACATGGTGCAGATGTGCAAAATTGAACAGGCTCTCCATGGTCCATTGGGCAACTTGAGTTAGACTCCTGCTCTGTGTGTATGTCCATGGGCTCTGTTGAGCTCATTGTACTTTGCTCCCCTTCAGTGCGGATCTGCTCAGCTCCTTGGGCTTGACTTCTTGATTGGCAAAAAAAGTTAGCTTGTAAGCGATTTGGGGAAGGGACTGTCTTTTTGTTCTGTGTTTCTATAGAACCTAGAACAATGGGATCTTGGTGTATGGGTAGGGCTCGTAAGCACTATGATAATACAAATAATAAGTGATAGGATCTCCCAAACCCCATCTACCCATGGTGCCAGAATGAGGTGACATTCATAGCAGATTTTATGAACAATCATGCAAGAAAAGAGGTGGAATTGCAGATTTGCACAATGAAATCATTAAGTGTTGACATTTAGATTATCATCACTGGTTACCAATCAATTAACCCCGAAAGAGATATATGGGGTAATTTACACCTCCCAGGGCTATTGTTTCAGACTCAGATATTGCAACTTCACTTACACACCGTTCACATGTCTGAGGTTTTCTTCACAGCTATAACAGCTAGAGACTTAGAACTGGCCTACACAAGAAATTTACACTGCAAAATTCAAGTTATAAAACAAAAATCACTTTTGAATTGGAGTACAATCAAACTAAAATTGGTATACTTTGTTTTATATTTTTACATGACTGATGGGCTTTATTTTTTAACTTTTAAGTTATGCCCTGTCATAGATACAGAAGTTTCTTGTCCATCTGGCTCCTCTAATTGTTCCATTTGCCCCAATGACTCCCTCCCATCCCCTGCTTTCCCTTGCCTCCATTCTTATTCTTCCTTACCCTGCTCCTTAGCCTCACTCTCCTCCAGCTCTTTCCCCTCACAACAAAACCCTGCTTTAGACTCTCCCACTTAAAAACCCCCACCCTCAACCCCACTTGCCTATGAACTACCACCCCTATCTCCCTTCAGTCTGGTTTCTTCTCCTGGCATTTCATTGAAACATCTCACACTAAAGTGCTAATGACCTATTCCTGGCCAAAGCTCAGAAGCACTACTCCATCCTCATTCTCCTCAAGCTGTCAGCCACCTTTGACACCATTAACCAGGCTCTTCTTGATGACATCTTGGTTACCCTTGGCTTTAATGACTGTCCCCCCCAGTTTTCCTTCTACTTCTCTAATCATGCCATCATGACTTTCAGAGGATTCTCCTCATCCCTCTCCAGCTTTCTGCCTGGGTCCACAGAGCTCTGTCCTTGGTATCCTTCTCTTCTTCCGCTACACTTTATCTCTGGGTAATCTCACCTACAAGCACAAATTCAGCTACCATCTCTACGTCAATGACTCTGAGATCTCTCTCTCTTTACCCCCAAACCTGTCTGTTGCTGCCCAACACTACAACACTGTCATGCCTGGAAGGATGTAATCTTGCCCCACTCCTAATTATTCAGTGTGTTGCTGTGAAGATCATTTTCCTAGCCTCTTTGTTACTGTCTTAGAAATGTTATTAAAATGCCCTCACTTTTCTCTCAAGGAGATATAGAGACCTTAACTTGTGGTTTTGCTTTTATTACCTCTAATCTGAAATACTGAAATTCCCTTTTTATAGGGCTCTCGGTTGGATCTATTAATAGAATATGCTTCCTACCAAGCCGCTGCAAGATTTGCTAAGGCAGATCAACATATTTCTGTCCTTTGTATTGGTGACCAGAAGCATTTGAAAATGTTCTGTATTTTAACATTTTAGTTTTTAGTTTTAAAGCTCTTCATAGTCCTGAGCCTTCAGATCAAAAGTCTGCTTGCAAAGTGAAAACTGAGGAACTCTGCTGATCAAGATGACAATTTGTAGACTTTTGAGAGGAAAAAAGTGAATATGTTCAGCAAAGGGAATACAAAAGCTTCTTACCCTTACTTGTTTTGGGCTGGAATGTCACAATATGACTTGAAATGGGTACACACAGAGACCAGAAAGGGGTCAGAGTTGCAGTTAGTCCTGTAACCATGACAGCTGCCAATCTGATGTTGCTGTAGAAATTAGGGGCTTGATTCTCACTTACACACTGTGTACAGGGACCTTAAAATGGGTGCAAATGTAATTTTCACCTGCTTTAAGATCTCTTTAAAATGCTACGGCAGTGTAAAGAGACCCTCGTGTAAATGAGACTCCTTATCTTTTTCACTTCTGATTTTTGTGTTTGGATTTGTGAATTTGGCATACTGCAAATTCCCTGGGGCCACCTATATGGCAATATAATATTAAATCGTGTCATTATTTGTCTAATTTTCCCCTCCTCACAACAGGTTCTGGCTCTCCTCTACTACAGTTGGTATTGATACAGATGGAAGAGAGAGCTACTGAACCACTAATACTACGTCTTGCAGCATCTTGAATTCAAGTTGGAGGTTTTCCATCCGAGTACTGGCTTGCCATCCTCTGCTGAGTTTGTAAGACATTCACAGCAAGCCTAAGGTGGTACATCTGCAGTTCACTTAGAACGTATGTCTGGCCACCAGTTAGCAGCCAAACATCAAAACATAAGTAGATGTAAATGTTAGATACTGTATTATAGAGGTATCTGAACTCAGTTTAGATTTCCTTCCTTATTATTCAGTCTTCAAAGTCAAAGAATTCTTAGAGCAACAGTGCCATCCAGGGGCCAGTTAATTAATGGTGTGTAATCAAAATAATTGCCTAGAACTGATAATATATGTATAAACAATAATTTCTGCTGTGATTATATTTGGAATTATTTCTTCAAGTGTATTCATATCTGATTTTACATAATCTGAATAGTGCAACAGATTAAAGTGTAGAAATCTAAAACAATAACTTTGATTTTCAATTGTGGCTGTGAAACCTGTAACATACTGGAATAACATAGGAAATATATAAAGTGGTTTAAGATGATTGCATTTAAAAATCATATGGCAATTCACTGTAGCATAATAAATCTGAAGTAAAGGAAAAACTATCTTTTGATGAAACCTTGATAAACAGTTTAAGCCTCAATCCTGAAAATACTTATACAACACATGTGCTTAACTTGACTTCATTGAAACTATTCACAGTGCATAACATTAAACATGTATGTAAATCTTTACAGGGTTGAGGCCTTACATAGCTTAATTACTGTACATCCCATATTCTGCTTTCCAATAAAAGTGGTACTTTAATTAGCTTGGGTCTAGAGGAAGTTATTTTTTTACAGGGATTAGATTAAACAGTTGCCAAGAAATGTATCACTCTGCATGTTATGCCCTTATTACTTTTTTATTATTGCTGTATGTTAGCCTTACAATGGCAGCAACTACCATCAAAATGTGGATGTAATCCACTCTGTGGGAAAGACTTAATAAGACTGCTGTCTGGAGCATAGATTTCTATTAGTGACTGCATTTATTGAGAAGATTGTCTCACTACCAGCATTTATCTTCCATATTGCAGCTGTGTTTTTTCATTTCTTTTTTAGGCTCCAATTCTAAAAAGACTTATGCATGTGCTTAACTTTAAGCATGTGAGTAGTATCACTAATACTGTACATTGAAACTACTTACTTTCACTCGCTCATAACTTTCTTCTTTTAGGCTGAAACCTCCCATGTTTGATCTCTGCACAATTTTAAAACAATGTGTTCAGCTTTTTTTTATTTATAAGAGAATGGAGAATAAATATATTGCTCTGTTATTAACATTGTTTAGATTTCTTGTGCAGTTTCAATTAGCTGAATTTCAAACTGTGCTCACAGCTACTTTGCAGTGAGCCAAGTCTCCTTACATTTGAATTAAAACAAAAAGTAACTCTTCCTTTATTCAAATTCATTTCCCCAGGGTACCAAATTTCTTTCAGATTTCGAGGGATGTAGTATCTGAAAATACTATAGACTAGGTAAAAGCTTAAATTTTCAATTCCAGAGCTGGTAACAAAATTTCAAACCCTGTGGAGCACAATGAAACTCAGACACATGGGGTGACTGGGTGGCTCCCCGATGAATTTTGTTTATAATTTTGTCATTTTTAAAAACTTGTTAGACATGTAATTTGTTTATTATATAAAATGCAGCAAGGGCTAGATCCAGTGAATCTAGAGGAAGGTATATTTGTTTTACAGGGTTAGATTGAACAATTGCTAAGAAACGTGCCACTCTGCATGTTATGCTCTTATTACTTTTTTATTAGTGCTATATGTTCGCCTTACAATGACAGCAACCACCATCAAATTGTGGCTGTAATCCACTCCGTGGGAAAGACCTAATAGCAGGGGCTAGATCCTGTGAGAGGTGTCTGTGTGCAGGATCTGGACACAGAGCTCTCCCCCCGATGCGTGCCTGGGGGCTCCTTACCGGCTCTGAGCTCGATCACAAAGCTCCGTTATTCAATGTATAAAAAGTCCTGACACAGCCATAAGCTGAAACCACTGAAAAACACAGGAAAAGTCTCTCCCCGCGGGCGCCGCGCAGGGCACCCAGCACAACTTCCTCCAGCTCTGCCCCGTGGTGTCCGTGGTTCAATCAAGTCCGCTCGGGCCAGCGAGATACCGCCGGTGCCTAGACTGGCCCTCACCATCGAGACGCCACCTAGAGCGTCTCCGCAACGCCGAGAGCAGTGCGCACGCGCGCAGTTTCGTTTCGTGCTTGTCTTTGAAAAGAGTGTGAGCCGCGGGGCCGCGCTTCCCGACGCCACGGGGGTGCTGGCTCGCGTGGGCTGTTGTGGTGTAGGGGGGCCCGGAGCGGCGGCCGCCATGGCGCAGGTGCTGAACCTCAACAATGAGGTGAGTCTGCGCGCGGCCCCTCTCCCCCCGCACGTGGCCCTCGCCGGCGGTTTCCCGGCTGCTCCCTCCTGGGGCTCGGAACCCGGGGGCCTCTGGCAGGAGGGTGCGGCTCCCCGAGGAGGGGCGTAGGGAGAGCGCTGCGGGGCGGGTCCCGGGCTGCGCGTGGATGGGAGGGGGGGTCCCAGGCTGGGGCGAGTTGTTTCTTGGGCTTTTAGCTCGTCTCCCATTGTGGCCCCTCAAAACCTAGCCATTACCAGTCAGAGGAGGCCTCAGTAGCTCTGCAGTGTGGCCCATGGTGCCCAGAGTGTTTGTAAGTAGTGGCCTTATCAAATTCATGGTCCATTTTGGTCAATTTCATGATCATAGGCTTTTAAACATAGTCAATTTCAGGGTTTCAGATATTTACACCTGAAATTTCACAGTGTTGTAACCATGGGGGTCCAGACCCAAAAGAGGGTGGGGGAGGGGTTGCAAGGCTGATGTAGGGGGGTCATGGTATTGTCACTGTTATTTCTGTGCTGTTGGTGACAGAGGTGCTGCATTCAGAACAGGGGAGCTGGAGAGCAATGGGCTGTGCAGACATGAGGGCTGTATGGTCTAGGGGGGTGCATCATCACTTTTGGGGAGCAGGGCTGGCCCTATGGCAGCCTCCACTAGCAGCTGGAGCCCAGTGCATGATAGGAGCCGCTGGTGGGGCACCCCCAGCCCTGCCTCTCCCTGGTAGATTTCACGGGTGGAGATCAGATTTCACAATCTGTGACACATTTTTCATGGCTGTGAATTTGGTAGTGACCTATTTATAAGCCTCTAGAAATGTTTGGTCCATGTCCTGCCTCTGTCACCTGGATTGGGTGGACACAGGATGGTGTAAACTTCATGTTACACCTTCATGTTGACACCACTGGGATTGAGATGTGGCAGGTGGAGATATTGTCTCATGGGCTGCAATTGTCTGGCTCCAGGGGTTCCATTGGCTGTGCCCCATCCTGATCCAAGTAGCTGTAACCAACAGCAATGAGTACTAGCCCTTCTGCGCAGCTCAGAGTGGTGTTTGACCTGATGGACTCCGTAATTTTGTTGGCTGTTCCCTTTTCCTTAAAAGTAAGAGCAGGTTCAACAGTTTCTTCCAGTTTTTAAAAACTACATGCATCCCTTTGGCTTCTGGCAGATTGAAATGCTGCCCTTAAATGGAGCTAGCCTGATTAAGATTAACAAAAGATTAGGGTGCCATCACCAGTGTTCTGGGTAATGTCCTAATGGAAAGCACAGACTTTCTCCCTTGAGGCTGCTGAGAAGAGAAAGGGGGCTGTCGTTCAGTGACCCTAAGATCCTCTCAGTGCCAACTGGCAAAGGGTTCACTGTCATGTAACAATAACTTCTATCAGGTCTGACAAACACCTACATCTAACACATTGCTATCCTCGTATTTACATATTAAAATACCTTGTAAGGTATTGAATGAAAGCCAGTAGCCCACTGGTCATTAATATAATTGTGATATGTATGTATTAACACTTGATACTTGCTGATGATATACTTTAAAGTCTGTAGTCAAACAAAGGGAGAAGCAGGTTTTCTTCCACACAGGAGGGAAGGAATTTATCTCCTTGTCTCTAAAGTAAATTAAGCATTGTGGAACCAACACAAAGAGAGCCCCATTTGCATGTACCTCATCAGGAAAAGCTAGATTGACTGGGGGCATGTAAAATCAGCATAGGAGGTGTCAAGGCTGCTTCCCCACTCTGAACTTTAGGGTACAAATGTGGGGGCCTGCATGAAACTTCTAAGCTTAACTACCAGCTTAGATGTGGTCCGCTGCCACCACTCCCAAAGTGCTAATTCCCTTCCCTGGGTAGCCTTGGGAGACTCTTCACCGATTCCCTGGTGAATACAGATCCAAACCCCTCGATCTTAGAACAAGGAGAAATTAACCATCCCCCCTCCTTTCTCCCACCAACTCCTGGTGGATCCAGATCCAACCCCCTTGGATCTAAAAAAAAAAGGCTTTTAATTAAAGAAAAGAAAGGTAAAAGAAAACCCTCTGGGAGAGATTAGCATACCAGCTACTCTCACAGACAACAGATTCCAAACACAGAGGATGTTCCCCTGGGCAAACCCTTAGTTTACACAAAAAAAAATACCCAAAATACCCAATTTGACTATTCCTCTAATTGCACAA